GATTGGCCTTGAAGTACTTGCTACTTCACTATACAATGGTTGGCCTTGAAGTACTTGCTACTTCACTATTCAATGATTGGCATTAAAGTACTTACTACTCCACTATACAATGATTGGCCTTGAAGTACTTGCTACTTCACTATACAATGTTTGGCATTGAAGTACTTGCTACTTCACCATACAATGATTGGCCTTGAAGAACTTGCTACTTCACTATAGAATGATTGGCCTTAAGTACTTGCGCATTTAATTTTGGTCAAGTAAGAAATTACTTAGACCAACATTGTAAAGAGCCGACGAAAATAAAAAATGCTGCAGACACACCTTTTCCAGTTTAACTAGAAGGCCGTTGCTGATGTGCTCTTCCTCTTGTTCCAAGGACACAATCAATGACTCCTTCTCCTTCTTGAGTTGTTCGATTTTTCTCAACAGAGTGTTGATGATCAACTCGCCTCCTTCCTCATCTGTCACCTGGAAATGAGCAAATTCGATCAATCGTGGATATGAGCATATGTACGCAAACGGCTTCATGGTTCGTGCACAGGGGAGGGGATACGAAACCACACATGGTTATGGAATCACTCGCGATGCAAAGGTTTATATCCAAAATAGATTTAAACACACACCAGCTGCCATCACACGAGTGTGGGCAGTGATGGGGGCAATGGAATTACACGGAATACACCTCTACATACGCTATTGGCACAAGCACCAAATAAGGGGTATCACTCAGCAATGGACATACACGAATTCATTCTGATTATTCTTACGCTTTAGAAATGTACACATATGTACAGCAAGCTACAAGATTTGTATTGAGAGATACCTACATTCAATATTGTAAAATTACTCAAATAGTGCATGCTCACGAACTGTGATAGACATTCAACCGAAGCGGAAAAATGAATCCCAAAGCTCACGTTTCCAATAAACTACAACAAAAAATCTCATCAATCAACAATACTGCGACAATACTGCGCGGGTCAACTCAATGCGGATAACTCAGCATCCAGCCCACCTTCTGTTGGGTATAATAAGACTTCATGAGATATAACAAGACACTCATGAGATATGATAATAAACTCATGAGATATATTAAGACACCCATGAGATATAACAAGACACCCATGAGATATAATAATAAACTCATGAGATATATTAAGACACTCATGAGATATAATAAGACATCCATGAGATATATAAAGACACTCATGAGATATAATGACACCTATGAGATATATTAAGACACTCATGAGATATATAACGACACTCATGAGATATAATAGGACACCCATGAGATATAATAATAAACTCATGAGATATATTAAGACACTCATGAGATATATTAAGACATCCATGAGATATATAAAGACACTCATGAGATATAACAAGACACCCATGATATATATTAAGACACTCATGAGGCATATAACGACACTCATGAGATATAATAGGACACCCATGAGATATATTAAGACAGAGATATATTAAGACACTCATGAGATATATTAAGTCACTCATGATATATAACAAGACACCCATGAGGTATTTTAAGACACTCATGAGATATAATAAGACAATCATGAGATATATTAAGACACCCAAAGTACCATGGAATTGTAACACGAACGCTACTTTCTACAGCATATCGCCCCAAGTATCCACACCTCGATTTTTTTATCTGAACCCCAGAGTCGCTAAACAAGAATGTGGATTAGGACACCTTCAACTGCACACACTGCGAATTTAAGCAGTGGGTTTGTCACTGTGTGGGTTGTTTCTTGAGTACGTGTTCAACACTCGGGTGTAATTGGTGTAAATGTAGATGCCCGAGCTAAGTAGAAGTGTTCTCTCTGCCGAATAAATATAACAAAAACAAAATCAATAGACACTATTGTTGGACATGCTGCAGTGCTGCAATCAAGATTGACTTTATATTGATGCAAACGGTATCAATTAAGCACAGCCACACACGGACATGCAAACCTTCTATCCTGTCGCATGACGGTACACGGTCATATCTTCGCACTCAGTTGTTCAATGCACGTGATCCAATAGAGAAAGAAAGTAAAGTAGAACGGGCAAAGCATCGTCACAGTGAACACTTTCTCAACAAAATATTAACAAACGAAATATTAACAAACAAACAAAATATTAACAAACAAATATTAACCAACACACGCAGCGAGCAGCTTACCACCGCGGGAGTAGCCTTCTTCAAGAACGACAGCTCCTCATCTCGTGCAGCGACTTTGATCCGTTCATTCTCCAACTGGCAATTGAGGGCAGGTTCATGCATGAACAGAATAAGTATGTCATTCGTGTTCGGAAACTTACAACATGAAAATCAAAGTAGAACACTGTGATGGTTATGAATTTGAATATGTAAACAGGATATCACAGAACTAAACTTCCATATGCACTTCGTACTATGCGTTTTGATTGAGTTAGTAGCATCTAGTTAAATTCAACAAAAAATAGTGAGTAAGGTAAGCAAACACTGAAGCAATGGAAAAGCCGCGTTGTAACTCTCTGTTTTAGGGTTTTAGGGTTTACTTGAAATGTCATCATATATATACACGCATATATATATATATATATATGCATATCTACATATATGTATATATATATATATATATATATATATGATATGTGTGTTTGTGTGTAGTGTGAGTGTATTATATTATATATATATTTATATATATATGTATATATAAATATATATATATATATAATATGTATATATATATATTTATATATATATATATATATACAACACACACACACACACACA